GAAAAAATCTTGGTTTAAAACGAAACAGCTGATTTGAAAATTGATTGATAAAATGTTGGACAACAACTGAGATGTGAACATGGATATTGATAGCAAAGGTAGTGACATTGAAGTTGAAGATTTTGATGATTATGAAGATAATATTGACTTAATTGATGGTTTAGATGTAAATGAAGTTGATGAAAGAGATGTTGCATGACTGCATCAACTTTTCATCAGCGATTCAGACAATTACGCTAACTTTGAAGGATTGAAATATGATTATGTCCGGGGTGATTTTTCTCCTTGGTTGCAGTCCCGATTTAAATTGATTGAGGGGCAACTGTTCAACACCCAGAAGGATACTGACCTAGTGATGATGTGGACATCAAAATTTGGAAAACAATTTTTAATGATTCAGTTTAAAGATTTCTAGGATTAATTTGTGGACAATTTTTTTCCGAGAAACTGCAGACTGATGTACATGTTCTAGATTGTGAACTCAACAAATTGTTCCTAGTATTTAGTTGTGCAGTTTTGGTAAAATTATTATAACATTTGAACTAACAGTGTTAAAAACTTCAAATTTGGACCAAAATATTAGAAATAGAATTATCTTTATATTATTCCCATACCATTTTGAGAATTTAATTCATCTTCACGGAGAAAAGATTCACTGAAGTTCGTGGTAATTTTTTTTTTTCAAGCCCTATTTCAAAATACAGTTGTGAGCTTGTACATTAGTAAATTTTAACGAAACATCATTGTTGCCAGTTTTATTACCTTTTTAGAGATACATAGTTTTATATACTTTAAAAAATAAATAACAATGTTACATTTTTTGTAAACCTGGTGAAGGTCATCACAATTTCTTCTGCTGCTGCTGTGTGATGCTCCGTTTTACCACAGTGTATTTAGAATTTCTCAGGATAGAATGGGTTAATACTTGATAAATCTGGTTTTACTTCAATTTGCTGTGATACTGACAGGTTTCTAGTCATTGTTCTCAGAACGAATATGGTGAGAATTAAGTGTGCATTACATTTTTGATCAATTATTACATTTATTTTAATTAATATTTTAGAATTCTATGTACAGCACAGACCTGTTTACCCGACCGTATTTGACCGTATTTGTACGGAATAAAGTCCATCAGTACGGTCATACGGTCATTGAACTGAAAATACGATTTGAGGTTGCATTTATTTATTACTTTTTTAAAATTAATTTTTTAAGCCGTTTTTTTCCGTTTCGTTTCGTTGTATCGTCTCTTTGGTCCGCATCCACGTCCGCATTTTGTGCCACGTCACTTATTTTGACATTCTCAACATCCGGTTGTTTAAACAAAATAAAATGCCGCTGACAAGAAAGTTTCAGCACGAAACTGATGATGAAAATGGAAAGTCTGACACAGAAAGCAGCATTTTCTACCAGTTTATTCTACTCTGTGGCAATGCCTTAAACCATCGTCAAAAGGAGAACATTTTGTGCATTGCACTGTTTGCAACTCTTTTCCTGTGCACATGGTGGAAGGAATGACTGTTCACGGCATGTGGAATCGGAAAATCATACAAAATTGAAATCATTAGTGAATGGAAATATAAACATTTTGTCAATGATGAAAGGAAAGGAAGTCAGTGATCAAAACATACTTCATAAACAAAAAACACGTGCTGAGGCAATTCTATGTGAGTTGATCGCAAATATGAATTTGTCTCATTGAGTACAGCTGACAAGTTAACGGAAGCAATGAAAAATAATTTATGAACCTTATTTCCATTCTAGTAAATATTGACAAAGATGATACTAGATTTTATCAGATAAATAAGATTGCCTTTACCTATCTAGATAAACTTATTATTTTCTAAGTGGATGGGTGGTAACATTGTCTGTCATAATGTTTTATATCAAGTCCTTAACCATGTAAAATAGAGAATTGGCTTTAATTACAATGTTATGGATATGTATGAAGCTGAGAAAACAGAATTTCTAGAGAAAGTAACGGAGGTAAACAACAGAATAAATTTGGTTATGTTGTGGTATTTTTTTGTGGTTTTTATCACTATAATATGAACAGGATGTTTAAATCAGTGGTGTTCAATTTCTGCATATTTGTGTCTTGAAACACAGAATTAACTGAATACCAGCGTCTTTGCAAACTAGGAGTTATTTACACAATATTGTATAGTCATTATGTAGTGTAATACTACATAATGATAATTATAGTATATTGATAATATCTACTATTTGTGTGCTGAAAATACTGACTGCGGTCTGAAAATACTGACAGGCATTGCTTAAAATACTGACAGGAAAATTTATGGGTAAACAGGTCTGACAGCATTCAAAATGGTTTATTGTTGCTAGCACATGGCTATTAGACCTCTGATGTCATTAACATGTAGGTTGCAAGATTTGCATGTGACTGAATGTAAATGGAGAGTTCCATGTAAAATTTCATCAGCACTATAGTTGCATCTTGTTTCTCAGCGGATTAAAGCTACACTCACTGAGAAAATAAAGCATATTACTATTAATTTTAATGAAGGTATATTTTGATGAAAGGTCATTAAAGTTTGCTTGGCCGGTTAGTAAGTGGCTACCATATGCCGACACCAAATGGTGTCAATGAATTCCAACTTTTCGATAGGGAATGGTCTCCGACCCAACATAAATGTCCAAATATCAAAAATGGGGTGGCAAGGGTGAGAGGAAACTCGGACTAATGACAGTAATGATTCTTTAATTTATAACTGAATATACAGATGATTAACTTCCATGTGCAATATTGTGTTTGAAGCGAAACAAGTACGCTAATTAGTGAGCTGTTTCAATTAATATTTAAAAGAGAAAATTGACGTCATCATTTTAGAAGTAGTTATCAAGCAAGCTTATATATACTCTGTGGATAAAATGAGTTTGCTAAACAATTTTCGTAAGGAAGGTAATAACGGCGATTTGGAAAAGATAAATTTGTTTGAAAATGGAGGGATAAAATGGAAGATGGACACTGAGTGTGCGGTAGCTATTTCTCCAAAGAGACATAAACAACAATCCTTGATGGCAAAAAATGTCAAATATGACACTACCAAGAGACAGAAATTTTCAGTCACATTAGGTTGATTATTATCTCTGGCTTGAATATATTGACTTGGAAGGAATGATGTTTCGCAGTTAGGGCATAACCAATTAGCATTTTTCTACAGATTTCCGATTTTGGATTTTCGGCATGAAATTTTTTCAATTCTGGATACGATTTGATTAATCGGAAATGCTAAATTAAAAGGTTTTTCAAATTAACTTTTTAAACTGTGTTACACATATTTTGCACATCTCACCGACGTCACAAGGGAAAGGATATGGCAGGACTATAGCAAAATGCAAAATATGTTAGAAAGATATCATTTATTTATTGGTTTAACCATAATGATCTGTAGTACAGCTAAGATTCTGAACTATCCGTAACTGGAAATTTTTTGTGGTCATGCGCATGGAAACTAAGAAAGGTAATTTTAAGCGCTACGATCAGTAACTCCGTTGCAACCGTGAAATGCCCATTATAAATCCAACTTTATTATTTATATTATCCGAATCAGTTGTTCCTGCCTTGTCTGACTCCGAATAATCAGAAGTTCATACTATCCAGTGTAATCCAATTTCCGGATCAAAAGTCAGTTATGTCCTATTTGCATTTACTGCAAGCAATATCCAAAACTGGCACAGGGAAGAAATTCACCCAGATGAAACCTTTCTGCAAATGGACCAAAGCGTGAGGACTTTTAACCCAGAACAGCTATGAACTGCTGGCTTTAACAATGATTTTCCAAAGATGAACAACAGCTGTGAAGTTATGGCACAGATCATTTAGCGAGCTGATCGGTGGAAATCATCCAACTATATGAAAATATATAACAGTTTTGTAGAAGGAACAAGACCTAAATGAAGCAAAAATTGAACAATCTTTTGCTGGGCAACCTATACAGCCTCAAGAAGAGATACAGGGTTGCAGCGTCAAAAATCAAAAGGATTGTTGAAACTTAAAAAGAAATTGACTTGATGGATTACTTAAGAGGTTTGTCGCATACTTTGTCGTTTTAATACGTGATATAAAAGTTTGGTATATACACATATATTTTTAAGATACTTGTTGTATAACTTGTCTTTATTTTTAATAAATGTTAAACAAGTATTAGTTGTTTGTTTCTTCTTAACAATGTTGATTTATTCAGTTACAATTGGTGATCAATACACCTGCGAGCTATTGTTCTTGCGATCAATTTACCAGCGAACAGTACATTCCGCGAGCAATTGTTATAGCGAGCAATTAACCACGAGCAATTGCCGGTGAGGAGTTGACCAGATACCAGAAAATGTGTATTGCAGTATGTTGCAGTTTTGCAGTATGTATCAAAAGGTCTTTGAAAGCATTTATGTTTCTAATGTTAATTTTCTTATTTTGTAATGATGAACCAATTCCTTGCTTGTAATAAAATCTGAACAAGCATTTGCTTTTTATTTCACCCAAATACCCACTAAATATAATAATTATGTAAATGATTTAGCAAACAATAAACATGAATGAAAACATCTACCAGCAGGAAACACGAATTTTTCATAGTTGTAATATTATATTGCCTGATTAGAAAGGTCTTTTGGTCAACAAACTAAAATGAATAAAAGGTTCGTACAGTAAAATCATAACCAGGAACCAAAATAATGATAAATTTTCACGTTGACAATGATTTAAAAAATGACTGAATATAGTAAATTAGTATTATCATTGGTTCCAAACCTTTGTTGTTTTCATGGGAGGGACATACAACTGTCATTAATGCAAATTTTGATCAAGAGACAAGTATGATGTTATGCCCTTTGATTTTTAAATACATATCTGGGAGAATTTTCTCAGAAAACTTGTCTAGATGATAATGTTGCAGATTAAGCACTGATACCATGTTTAAGGGTCCATATTTTGACTGGATGCAAGTTGTGAATGATGACAATAATAATTCATAGGTGATAGCTCCAATGGCCTAGTGGTTAGAGCATCTGCCTCAGATGCGGGAGGTTGTGGTTTCGATCCCTGGTCGAGTCATACCAAAAAAATGGTACTAACAGCTGCCTCTCTTGACGCTCAGCATTAAGAGGTTAGTGTTAGGATTGGTTGGCCTGGTGTCAGGATAATGTGACTGGGTGGGACATGCTACATGTCTGTGACTTGATGCCCCAGTGCTAGACATCAGTATAAACTGCCACGTTGCAGACATTGTAGTGATATGACTGAAAATTTTTTAAAAGCTATGTTAAAAATCATAATCACATCACATCTGGCTCTTTGTGAAGTTTTGAATTTAGTCTGTGCAACTAGGATACCTGCAATCATTGAAAAATTAGGTCCTTAACCCTTTCATCACTAAGTAACTTTGTAGGCATAGAGTCCTCAACACTAAGTAACTTTGGAGTTGTAAAGCAAAATGACTTGTGGACTTTGAAACAAAATAACTTTGTCAATGTTAAAGATATCTGGCTGGATTAGGTGTCAAAATCAAGGTTAAAAATCAAATTTTATGACTAATTCATTAAAATGTGCTTATCTATTAGAACTTAAATGCAGCTGCAAACAGGTAAGACATGTAAAATACAAGTAATTTTTTTTTAATTACCCTTAGAAAACTTAGAAAGTTCTCAAAACATGTTCAATTGACCCTAGATGTACTAGTGAATAATCACAGTAACAACACAAATCTTTCTTTCATTGTGTCCATAATATACAAAATTCTATAAAATGAACCAAAATGATCTCCAAGGTGAGATCTGTCCACACACCAATATCGCTCTGCCACGTTTGATCGTCGCATTGAAGTTCGTTAAATGGACAATTTTTCCAAAAACTTCATCTGAATAGAATATGAAAATATTCCGAAACTTTCCTGGAGCCATCTAACACTCAGGTGTGCCCAATTCTGTCAGAAAACTGAAACAAATCTCTTTGGTTTTCCGGCTTAGTGCAAAAAAAACAAACCACGTGGTGCGTACAATTCCTCTGGTTCAAAACCTTCACAGTTTTCTTCATCGTCATCACTGTCACCCACAAGAGCATTCCATTGTCTCCAGATATCTTCTCTCATTTTCATCCAAATTTACCAGGTTGAAATTATTCAAATCCTCTGATAACCTCCTCTGAAATTTGTTCAAACTCCGCCATTTTGGATACAAATTTCCGCATTCGGAAAACACATTAAAAGTTCGTACTTTGTTCGATATTTCTAGTTTTATACAAGCTAAACTCACGAGATCATCCAAATATAACATCTACATTACAAGAAGGAAGTTTTTAGAGGTACCCTGAAAGTTATTTAGTCAGGATTATATAACGTTAAAGAAGAACACTGCCCTAGACCGAGAAATCGGTCCATAGTGTTTGCGGACTTACTTCCCCATGACCGATTTTTCGGTCTGTAGTGATGAAAGGGTTAATGTCACTTTCAACTGGTGTGCCAGCGATTTCTCGGGTTGCGCCATAATGGTGGACTGGAAATGAGTTGAGAGGTTCGTTGTTCCACCTGTGTATTTGATTTTGGTTTGGTACATATTACTTACAATGAATGTTTTGTTAAGTGTATTGTTGTCAGATTTCCTTTTTAATGAAAAATTATTCCAAATAGAACTAGCAACCCCAGTGCATGGCATATATCCCTTAGAATTTCAGTTTTACATGGTCACTTCACTTTTTCCATATGTTAGTAACTTTCTGTATTAAAGATTGTATTAAAAATATTTATTAAAAATTATTTGTTAGAGGTCTTGCTAGGATTTTAAAACTAGGAGTCCATGACTCTTAATTTAGTAAAAATAGGAGTCCCACCAGCAAAAGTTGCAGTCCCACTAAGCCAGGCATCATGTACTTACACCTGGTTACTGTTGCAGCCGAACTATCAGTATTTGCAACTTTAGCACAGTTCTGAATCTCCATGAAATTTTATAATTTTTTCGTTTAACCCCAAAATACAAGTCTAAATTTGCAAACAGCATTTTGTCCAAGTCTCTTGATTTTGAGTTCCCAGGCAATGAAATAAATATAGGGATTGCACTGGGCTTCGCCAATGTCGCAAATTGCAATTTTGTTTTACTTATTGGCAACAAAATATACTATCTGGTGATATTTTTGGCAACAACATTTTTGGCTGATAAAAAACTATATACAGTCTTGGGTTTGGAGTGGAGAAATTCAAAATCACCATGACGGGAAGCTGCAAACTTGGATATAAAAATGCACTGGAATCAATTGTTACATAAACAAATCCTTATTCGATATTGACAAACCACCCTAACAATGCATTGTTATATCATAATCCGCTTATGCTGATATCTGGCCTTGATACTATATGCTGAAATATAATCAAAATAGCCATGAAACTGACTAGCTACAATCAACCAACGAGGACAGAAATGTGAAATGACTACAGTTGACAATACAACAGCAGTTTAAAATAAAAACAAAAGAAAAAACTCCCGAAAAAATAGTCTTGCAACTTTAATGAAAACTGATTAACTCTGACAAATCAATATATATATATATATATATATATATATATATATATATATATATATATATACACACACACACACACACACACACACACACAGCAATTTTTTAAAAAAGAATTCTCAGTTTGTACATTAATTTGATGTTCCCACAGAAATAACATATTTATTTGGTCCTTTAAAGAAAGTCTTGAGCAGCGCATTCAATAACCCGTGTACCTTCATCAAAGCAAGCCAGTGATTTTTGATCAAAGAAGTCAGCAACTAAATGAAATAAAAGCATTGCTTTAGTTTTCATAGTGATAATAACATAATTATTTTGCTGCAAAACCTTTTTCTTTGCAACAGAAACGTGTGTACGGAAGGGTGATTTTCTGCAGCTCAAATAAAAGATTTGCGTCCAAATATGCATAATTAAGCATTTCCAAGATCTCTGTTAGTGTTATTTATTTTGATCTACACTTGATCACTGGTGGAAAAGAAAATTACAAATAATTTACGCTTCCTGCACAAAATCACTACTTTAGTGACCCGTGCTTAAGGTATGGTTCTTTTGGAAAATTATGCGACTGGGTTAAGGACTTTGAAAAAAATGGTAAAACATTTCTTCAGCAAACAAATGTGAACTTTCTTTGAATAGTTTTTGCTGTGTTCTTTTGTGTGATATACCGCTTGGTAGTTTGTTACAGTGGTTGATACCAAGTCATTTTTGATTTAATTTGTTACCAGTTTAATTAGGATCAATCTCTTAACTTCCTTTGTTAATGATGGGACCATAATTGACACAGTACAGTGAAATGCACAAAATCAGATGGCTTCTTGTTAGAGAAACACACCTTTCCGAGGCAGAAATTGACTTCAACTTCTCATGCTAATATTTTATGATTGTGTTGACAATGGTCACTACTTTGATTTTACAGCACATCTGCTGAAGTCAAGTCTTTATTACGGACTGGCATAAACAATTGCTGACTGTTGATAACCAAAACTTACTAACCTCAGGCTAGCGGATTACAGCTAATTTTGAGCCATGTATTAAGATGTTGCTGTTTTAACACAAAATATTACAAACAGAATTTAAATATTGGTGAGCTTTTTCTAAATATAACTATCCTGGTTGTAAAGGTACATCTTTAACATTTACATCCAATTTCCTTTATTTCTGGTGATATGGATTTATCGAATTTGACAAATATTGAATGGGGGAAAAGGTGGGCAATTGATAGAAAATTTGCAACTTTAAAATGTCATAAGTTTACTTTTAGTAGAGATATTTTCAAACTTTAAACTGTTCTATACTGCCTGCTTGAGATGAGATCTATTATTTAACAATGTTTTAAAAGTAATTAAATGACTGAAAAATCAGTTGGGGTTACTGATAGAACTGGGGTTGCTGATAGAACCGGGGTTGCTGATAGAACTGGAGTTGCTGACAACTAGAGTTGCTAATAGAACTGGGGTTGCTGATAGAACTTAGGGTTGCTGATAGAACTAGTTGCTTTTGAGTTCTTAAGGACTGTATTTTTAAGATGCTACACCTAATGGAAGACACTGGTGTGCTCAGAGTTAGTTTTGGCCACATGCTTGTGAAGAGAAAGAAAACTATTTTATTCTCATATTGTTGTATACAGTATCATGCATTTTATACTGCAATTTTATGGTATATCAGTATATTATTACACCCTTGGTTTTAACTAAATGATTTCTTATTATATTTAGCTTGCAGCCATGTGAAAAATCTTGTCTTCACAACTCTACTTGAACAGAGGGACATATTGATGTGAGGGTTTTGCCAGACTGTCCAGTTGGTATCAAATTAAGTTATGCCAAGTTATGGTTGCCACAGCAGCCATCTTGAAAATCTTGATATTACTACTCTTAAATAGGAAGTCATATCTTTGAAATAATTTTCTTTGGACTACTTTCCAAACATCTGGCTATATCAGCATGGGGTTTTCACCAAATGACCTGTATCACCTTGTTAGTCCTAAATGAAAATGGTGCTAGTTGTACATCCTATATGGCTGTCACAATGAGAGTCTTAAAAATCGTGTTGCTACTTACTTGAATGGATAAACCTTGACATGGTTTTTTCATCAAGAGACTTCTAATGTAAAAATATTGTTAATGCTAAAGAATATCACTTGACAGTTAAAAGGAAGAAATGATCTTGAATTCCTGGATTTTCTTTTTGCTTTGTAGAGTATATGTCCCTTTGAGGAATTATTGTTTGCTCTTATTTTGAGATACTTCTTTTTTGAAGTAAATGTTATCAATTTTCTATATGAAATTAGTTTTATAGTTTTATATAATGATAGGCATGTGTTATAAGGGTGAATATCACCATATCACCTGCATGGGACGAATATATGTGTGTGTGTGTGTGTGTGTGTGTGTGTGTGTGTTTATTTATAGGTTACTGCATTTGTATGGGAAAATATGAATGAGTTTTTTGGATTGATATCCTTCCAACAAAAAGAGTCCATATTTCCCATACAAATACAGTAACCTTTTTAATATATGCTCATTTCTTATTCTTTACAAGGCAAA